GTAGGCTATTACAATAGTCCATGCTATAGAAAGCATCAACATTTAAGAAGTTTGTACAAAATAAGTTCACAAAGAGCAGAAAAGTCAGAGAAGTAATGAGTAGAAAGGTTCTTTGTATCAGGAATAAGGAAGGAGTTTCAAAGAGAATATTCAAAGTGTCAATGTGACAAAAATGAAGCAAGACAAGAACTGAAAAGTATCTACCAGATTAAGCAATGGACAACCATGATGATGTAAAAGAGGTGTGGTAAGAATATAAACCAGATAAAAACATTGATAAATTCAAAGGAAACAAACAAGTGAAGATGAAAGGAGTTGAGCTGGGCTAAGAAGACAGTGACTCGAGAGCAACGTAAGGTAAAATACTGCAATCCTTCTTTGACTGTCCCTAAATATTATCTCACCCAGAGCAGGTTCTATTGGGAAAGGCAGTCCACCATGGGCCTGAGTGTCCCTGCACATTCCTGTTGAATGTGACAGCCTGCAAAGCTTATCCATTTCCTGATACTGAGTGGATCCTTGCAATAAGTCTGTACACAGGCAACAAAGGTCAAGGTTACCACCCCATGTAACCGCCCCTCCCAGGGAGAGGTGAATTAACTTAGATGTTGTTTGCTACAATGTTTGCTGCTTGCTAAAAAAAGTGCTGGACTCTTGCTCCTGAGTTCTTCAGCTGTGACCCACTAGTGCATCCATGTAGACCCATTATCATCATGGGACCTGGATGCAAGGAAAACGTACATAAATATTCTGATGTTCATGCAGCTTGCTATGCTGTGAGTAATAATGTCATTTGTTTCTGACCTGGGAGTCTCCTGTTTTCTGCCAACAACCATGAAACATTAACAGACTAACTTATTAGCTTGCAAATATGGTAAAAGAAAATCTTAAGACTTTTTAGTTCTTGACATGAACAACAAAAGAACTAGCTGATATTCAGATTGCTAAATAAAATAAGAGACACAAAGGTGGTCACCAAAATAACTGAAATATATAAAATATTTTAGTTTATTTACTTTACATTATTCATATTTATTTTCATGTTCCAGTCTCCATAATATATCTTTTACCTATATTTATATCATTCTCATACTAATCCTAATGAAGTATTAATATGAGGAAATTGAGGATTAAAGATTTTAAGTAACTAAGCCAAAGAACTCACAAATTGTAAACAGCACAACCTAAATATAAGGCCAAATGACTTTAAAACATGTAATTTTTTTAACGATTAAGAGTCAGCCTCCTTGCCAGCTGATTTATCAAGGGCATGATACTTCATTATGTTTCTAAAAAACTAACACTTTGGACATGGGAACATAACCTTAAACTTTTCTTTAAAAATCTGTGACCAAGATTTGGGAAGAGCTAGGTTAAACAAATCCAAACCATCATCTTTACAGCAAATTCCTCATAATTTTAGTATGCAAATGTATGTTTTAATATGCTAAAAATGTTATAAATCTTCTAAGACTATTATCATTCTGGAATACAGTTTGGGAAACTACTGCTACAATCAATATACAGTGCTAACTTAACTTTTACATAGAACACCTTTAAAATCTTAGTAGTCAGCTTGATACAGGTACATAATCCTACAAAATAGAGAACATTAAAGTTAGAATGTGACTTAACAGCTTCAAGCCAACTCAACTACTTCACAGTTTGGCAACATTGCTCATTTCCTATTAAACAAAACAATTTCCCATAACCACAATGAAACTACATATCATACCTGTTTTTTTCTGAAATCAGATGGGTAACAATCAGCTTTTTGTAGCTCTACACTGTTATTTACTGCTGTACTTAGCAAAATCCGTACCCTTTTAACATTTGAAGGGAAGAAAAGACCACAGAAAAGGCAGTTTCCATATAAAAATTGTGCACTGGTTAATGTGTTAGTAAGTCATTCTGATGGTCCTGGGCATCACTAACTTTCCAATAAGGAAAACAAAACTCTATCAATAAGTGATTAATTAGCATTGCATACCTGTCACCCCTAAGCATGCTTGCCTGTCTTCTACTTTAGTAATCTCTTAACATTCAACAACTGAAATTGTTTATTGCTCAAGTTTATTAATCTTTCCAGCTTTGAAAAAAAACTGAGCTAAAGTTCATCATATAAGCCACAGCGGCAGATTGGTCCCTAGCTAAACAGTATCCTGGAAACCAATTCACCTGATTCTCTGGCATATATATAGATGTAGTTATTGATCAGGCCATTTTCAACAAAGCCCAAAGTTATACTAGACAGATGAAATTACTGTGTAGTAACAGGAATTAAAATCCAAATTTAAACTTTGCTAAGATTCTTAAACACTTTGCCCTGCAAGGAAAACAAATTGATGCCCTAGCTACTTAGAGCAGTTATCTTTAGGATCTTTAGGACTGATTTTTGCCCTCTGCTCTGAAGGAATGCCTCCACCCATTCAAAGTCTATGTAGAAAACAGCTCCAGTTTGGGACCAAAAAAAAAAAAAAAAAAAAAAAAAAAGGAATAAAATATGATATTTCCTACTTATTTCAAAAGGAGTTATAAAGGAAAAAAAAACACACCTTAAAACTGAGAGCAAATTTCAGTATTNTGAAGGAATGCCTCCACCCATTCAAAGTCTATGTAGAAAACAGCTCCAGTTTGGGAAAAAAAAAAAAAAAAAAAAGAAAGAAAAAGGAATAAAATATGATATTTCCTACTTATTTCAAAAGGAGTTATAAAGGAAAAAAAAACACACCTTAAAACTGAGAGCAAATTTCAGTATTTTGGTGTTGGGAATTTTTTAAAGTATATACTAATTCAAGTCTCAACTAGTCATAACTACTGAAGGCAAATGTGACAATATAATGAATTATTTTAAGGCAGAGCTACATCAGTTAAAAATGCTTTCAGTAGTGACTTATGTATTTCTCATACATACATGGCTGATACTGATATGCAAAACTCCAAAGAGAAAGAATTCAAATCAGCTAATGCCATTAAGGGAAACAAATAAGGACAGTAAAGAAAAGAGATCAGGAAAAAAAATAAGTCCCACTGGTAACAATATTCAGTATTTTCTTACTGCATTTTATTTTTAATGTCAGCAAAAATAAGAATGCCTTTATATAAAAATAAATAAAACCACCAAAACCATATACATTGACAACTTGGAAACTGCCTTACATACTGGCAGCAATAATATTCCAAACTGTCCTGAAAATTCTGATAAATTTTCACAGAATTCAGAATATGGGTCTTTTGGAGGTTTCACAATATGTAAACCAGATGAAATGGAAGCATCATGAGCTTTTATCTTAGAAAAATGCAAAATGACATACACTGGGATTTTATCTTTCAGTAACCTTCAAACTTGTCAAAATGCACTTGTTAACAGAAATTCTTAGTTCACAACTAAGTTTCACCTGTGTAAACAGATTTAAAAGGGGAAATCTCCATTAACATATATACATTTGTAAAATATCACAAACAGTACTAATTGCACCATCGGCGCTACATATTAATGTTTTTCTCCTCTCAATAAATAGGTTTACTAAATTACCATCTCAGAGTTTAGAGAATAACATGCTACCTAGCTGCAACAAAATAACTCAACTATTGCTGTGCCCTTTTTTAAAAGAGGGTTTACAAAAGGAATTTCCAATGACAACACCAGGATTAATATTACAGGGAAAAATGGATTAGAAAAAGTGACACTGAAAATATAGAGGGACACTTTTCACTCATTCCTACAAAGGTTTATATGGTTAAAATGGACAACCTTGTACTTAGCGAAAAATAATTTTTCTAAAAAGATCAGCATTTTTCTAGTAAAACTTCCTAGTTCCTCTCCCACCCAAGCCCCTACCCCCCAAGAAATGTGGGGACAGAAAAAAGAATACAGTCACTGTTAATACTAACAAAATGGAAAAGGACAAAATGACAAGGTTAACTAGAGCTGATAGAGGAAATCACCACGAATACTCTCTACAGTTGCACAATTTTTAAACACACCTTCCCCCCCCCCAAATCCACATCCTACCCTACGTAATGCTTACATCTCCTTCCCCCCTCCACCCACTCCATTTATGATGGCGATCACCTTCCCAGAAGGTATGTGAACTGAGTACCATTTCCAGCAGTCAATCCACTGGAAGGTCTCAGAAGTGACTGGGTCAGGGAATAAGGAAATGATCGAGAAAAGAGAAATAAAACAGATATAAGTTCTAATGTGTGTGTGTTGGGGGGGGGCGGTTACAGCGCGGTAAAGGGTGAGGGTGGGGGTGGGGAGCCAGGAGGAGACGGGTCGGGATGGAAGGGTCTCCAACAAGTCAGGGGCAGGCTCCACCGGAGGTGTGAAGGAAGTGGGTCCCGCCAGAAGGGCCAAAAAATTTAAAAAAGAAAAAAGAAAGCCAGCACGTCCCCAACAGGGTATCATCTGAGGAAAGGGGCTCCCCGGGCCACGGCGGGAGGCAGTCTCGGGGTGTCCCGGAGGCGCAGGAGGCCGGGGCGGGGACCAGAAACTCACCACCTGGTAGCGGCCAGTCCCTGGCTGGTGATGATCCATCCTGCCCGGCTCGGGACCTGGCTTCCGAGCTGGCGAGTCCCCCGGGTGCTCAGCCCCGCCGGCCACCCCTGTCGATGATGTCGTCGCCGCAGGGCCCCCTCCGCCTCTGTTTGTGCCGCGGTCAGCCGGCCCGGCCGCTTCACTTCCTGCCGCTGCCGCAGCAGCCGCGAAGACCTCCGCCTCCGCCGCCGATCGGGGAAGCTCCGGGACGCCGCGAGCGCTAGTGAGCATGCTCGGGAGGGTCGCGCATGCTCGCTGGGACCTCCGGCGTCCCATCCGCGGCGCGAGCTGCGGCGGTGGTGGTGTGGCCGGGTGGGTGGGGATGGAAGAGTAAGACAAGGCAGGCGAGCTGCCTAGGTTGTCAGCTTGTCGGCAGTGGGCGGTGGCAAAAGGAATGGAAAAAAAAAAGAATCGCCGTCTTTGATTGGTCTTTTCTATTGGAAGGTTTCCGCGCAGGCACAGGCGGGTGCACTGTCACCACGCAGAGACCGATGTCGAGGAGGGAGGGAAGGCATTCCTAGAGCACCTGAGGATAGGTCACCCATTTACCAACACTTCCTCTTATTACTCGCTCAAGTAATAAGACAAGGCAGGGTGATCCACCTCTAGGACACTTCTAAAAGGCTCGTTCAAAATCATTAGTGAGGTAAGGGACATCTTTAAAAAAATTTTTTGTTTGTTTCCCTCTTGGTAGTAAAAGATTTAAGAATCCAACAAGGACTCTTCGGTCATCCTCATATGTCACCAAGGAAACAGGCTTCTAGAGCGCTAGGTTCCTGGAAGGATACAAGAAAATATAATGAAATAAGATAGGACTATGTTTGGTCATACATTTAATCATTCGGAAGGGCTTAACAGTAAGGAATCACTTCATGTGCCACGTTGTAAGACTATCTCAGTATCTGGTTATCCACACATGACCTATGTCGATGTAAATGTTCAAACCTGTATAGAATTTTTATAAGAGTTTACTTGAGCCAAACGGACGGCATATGCCTGGCAGCAAGATCTCAAAGGCTCCAGAGAATAACAGTTTTGCAGCTTCTTTTATGTATTTGAAATTAAGGAGGGAGTGTAAAGAAGATTGGAGAAAGCAAGGCAGAGATTGGGTTACAGGACAGTTAAGATTATGTGCTGCTCCATGAGGGTGATTTTCCAAGAGTCAGGAAAAGAGGATCACTTCTGGTATTTCAAAGGTGTATTAACCTAGATGCGTAAGAACAATGGCTTAAAGCCTTTCACTAAAGAAGTTATATGTCTGGGGCATGACTACCCACCATGACCTGCTCAGTTAGGAATTTACGATCAGATCACCCTGTAAGGTTACTTTCCATAGAAACACTTTATTTCATACATACCTAGTGTGTGTATCTCCCACAGGGCACAAAGCATGTCTCTCTGTTAAGTACAAGAGTCTAATGAGGCAGCATAAGTACCTTCTAACCCAACGACCTGCTTTCTATACCCTGAAAACTGGTCCCACATGATCTGGCCCAGCTACCTGTTTTACTTTACTCCTGAATTGCCAAAGTAAATTCCTGGGATGAAGAAGGCCCAATGGATGAGCCTGGTTAGCTAGTTAAAATAGCAAAAATACAATAAAAAGAAACTCATTGAGAGATCAACAACTAAAAAGTTTAAGTCTTCCTGATAGTTTTATTCAAAGTGTTCATCAGTTGTTCCTATTTTTGCCATCTAAACATATCTAGTGTCAGAAAGCATTAATAGCCTAGTAATATTAATAGCCTATTAATATTAATTTTAATGTGCTTTCTTTTTATCTAAATGTATTTCAGATTCTAAGATAATAAACATATGACATATTATTGTATTACTCTATAAATGCTCACCCTCACAATTTCACCCCAAATGGTATCACCTTTTAAAGATCAAAACAGCAGCCAGTGTCAGCAAAATGAAATTAGATTCCTACATCACTTACAGATCATTAGAACTTAATTTTATTTGTGCTTCCATTTTCATTAATCATTTTTATTACCATTTGTTTTTCAAATAGACTGCTGCTTAGGGCAGAGGCCATATTTTACACCCAGTACACCCAGAACAGTACTGAGAACCAACAGTGAAAACCAAAGACCTGACCAAAACCAGACGTACTGAATCCTGTTAAGAGTAACACATTATTTTAATTTTACCCTCCTCCCAAGTTTTGTGAATGTTTTGCTCATCTAGAGAGCAGGTAACAAAATTCAATAGGAAAGTATTTTTGTTGGTTGGTTTTCTTTTGTTTTTCAGTGAAGAAGAGGAAGAGAAAAGGGGAGAGAGAAGTAGAAAAACAGCTAACAGTTATTGAGCTCTTCCCAAGCCAGGAACTGTATGTGTTTCCATCCTCACAACAACTCCATGATGTAGGCACAATTGTGATCCCTGTTTCACAAATCAGGAACTGAGGCACTAAGAGGTTCAGGAACCTGCCCAAAGCCAAATCACTAGTAAGTGGTGACACTCCAGAGCTTCCACTATATTAAGCACTATCTATAGTATACCCTAAACAAACAAGCAAACAAAAAAAGGCTTTTCTGTCCATCACTACTGTGGAATCTGTACAGAAGACCAAAAAAACCCTGATGCATCACAAAGAGCCAATTGGGTTGGGTTTTCTGAAATCCCATCTTCTTGATTCTTTATGAAATGAATGATTCTTTCTCATCATTTCCAAAGAAGCCATTCTGAGCTCCTTTTGCCCATTTCATAACTAAGGCAATGTGACCGACCTGTAAAGGGCTATCATACGCAGAGGCCTTGAGTTGCCCTACTAGGAGCAACTTATTTGGGATGAAATGAGAATAATAATATTCTTATCATTTTAGAGGCCTTAAGCAACATCCAATATTTTTAATCCCTAATCTGTTGGTGGTGAGAACTTATTTACCTAAGGAATTGGTGGTGGTGTACCTCTAGAAACTACCTCCAGTAGAATTTTACAATTCTAGTGTACTTCACAAACACCCCTTGCTCTGGCCTAATCAGTTTTCACCTCCAAATACACAGCCACCCAAAATTTCACTAGTACCACACTGCAATCCTGGGGCAGACCTGGAGATAAGCAGTCCAGATTCCCTGTCAAGAAAGCACACACTCCCCAGCTGTGATTAACTAGCAAACTCCAGTTGTTTTGTTGGGATTTCCTTCACCTTTCAACCAAAATTTATGCTATTTTCAGGGTGGCACTTGGCCATTGATGGAACAGGTGGTAGTACAGGTCTAACCACTTTTGCCTGACTCTGGACCCCTTTAAAAAGCAATATTTGCTTCTGAGTTCCCTGCTGAGCCAGCAGAGACTGTGTCCGCTCTGCAGTGTGTTCTGACAATTCTTCCTTTTTTCCTTCACAGATGCTAACTCCACAATAAATCTATTGAATCCCTAACTTCATCCAGCATCTGCTTCCTGGAGAATCCAACTTAGACAAGTACCAAGATGTAAAGTGATAGAACATTGTTTAGATTATCAAAATTATGTTAAATGACTACAATTGTCCTTTCACATGATTGATGTTTCCTCTCCATAATAACCCTCAATACCTTCCATTGTTACCCTTTTCTCATATGCACATAATGTATCTACAGCCTCCCACTAAGAATGATTTTGATGTTATTCTGTAGAGTGATACTGTCAGGTCATAGGGACCCTTTTGCTTGGGACATACTTCCCATTGGGAATCTCTTCTACCTTTCCAGAAGCAAAGCCATTTCCCCCAGAGGTAAACTGATTCCTTCTCTTACTTCTAACCAGGTATGTTAAATTGCATATACATGCACCAGAATTTTTTGTTGAGATTCTCATTAAAGAGCAGTAGACATACTGTTGCCTATAGATGGCCATCTACAAGGCCTAAATTACAGATAGGCAAATGCTGCACATTTTCCTTGCTGCTTCAGTGATTTTTCATTTTTTATCACTTCCTCTACAACATACAACATAGAACTACTCCTCAAGTATCTACTGATGGTTAATGTGGCTATAGACCCTAATAGTTAATTGCATTTGTAATATGTATCGTTTTGTATATTTATCTAGAGAATGATTAAAAAGAGGTAAAATTACAGTATCCTAAGATTTCTATCTCTACCTAATAAAAATTCACTAGTCATTATTTTCTATACATTAAATTCTAAAGTAAATTTACAAAAGACAAGAAACTACTATGTGTTGTAGTACATGAAAATAAGCATGAAAAGAACAAAGAACAAAACAAATAAGCATAATTATTACTCCAAAATTGACTCTATTACTTAACTACTATGTATATGAACCTTTCAAGCAGTTTGTAGACTTGAACTTCAAGTTAGCTGCACGTAGTCTTCCTTACTTAGTTGGTTCTGAGATTTCTGTCATCTGGTCAGCACTGTAATTTTAGAGAGGAAATCTTCTGAAGTGAGTAATTTGACAATCAGTTATCTACTTCCTTTCCCTCTTTTTGTTCTCATCCAGTGTGTTGGAAGAATCTAAAATGCAGCTGTTTTTTATCAGTCAGAGTTCAACCAAAGAAACAGAACCGATAAAAGATACATATTAAAAAATTTATTGCAAGGAATTGGCCTACACTGTTGTGGGGGCTGGCTAGGCAAGTCCAAAATCCATAACACAGGCCACTGCAACTCTAGAAGAGTTCTAGAAGCTGCTGTCTGCAAGCAGAATTTCTTCCTCAGGGAAACCTCAGTTCTGCTCTTAATGCCTTTCAGCAACAGATTGAATCAGGCCCATACAGAGTGTAGAGGATAATCACCTTTACTTAAAGTCAACTGATTTTGGATTTTAATCATATCTACAAGATAGCTTCACAGCAATACATTACATGTTACCCATGTAATCAGCACCCATATTAAAAAATAGAATATTTCCAGAAGCCTAAGAAAGCCCTTGGCTCACTTCCTGTGTCTACTCCCATACAAAGAGTAGCCATATCTTGACTTGTAGCACCATAAATGAGTTTGGACTAATTTATAGTTTTGAACTTTATACACATGGAATCGTACAATATGTACACTTTTCAGTATGATTCTTTTGCTTAACTTTACATTTGTAAGATTTATTCATATTGCTGTGTGTAGTTGTAGCTAGTTCATTTTTGTTGCTGAGCAGTATTTGTGGATGAAAAAAGGGGTTATATAGAAAGGGGTTACATGCACGTGAAAGAGAGTGATAGTAATTTTGTTAGGAATCATGCTTCACACAGGGACAATGGGCTCTCAGAGACAGGGCCCAGAAATATTGAGAACTGGCTAGATGTGGTGAGGGTCCCACTCCAGGATTTCGTAGTTCTGGGGAGAGATCCTGAGACAAACAGTTCAGTAAAACTTCCCAGGTAATGCTGGCTGATTAGTTAGGTGTGGGACCCACCAGTGAAGACTGCTTCTCAACGAGCCTGAGTATCAAAGAAAAGAGAAGGGAGAGGATGGCAGTTGGAAGGCCAAGGGGAACCACTGATTAAAGATCAAGGAGCCTTGACTGTTCACATGTCAGAGAAAGGGGACCAGCAGGAGAGGAGAAGCTGAAGGAGCCGACGTCATGGAACCCATCTTGCAGAGGACAGATTTCAACAGGAGGTGGATCTCAGTTCTCAGATAGGAACCGAAGTAGAAAGAACAGGAACATAGACACAGACAGTTGGAGAAGGAAGGACACGAACAAGGTTAAGGGAATTCTACCTGAACCTCCTCCTTTCTTCTCAGTGAAGCAGGTGGTGAGCCCCCAAGACCTTTTCTAAAAGTCCCAAGGTGCATGAAAAGAATAGTAAGGATCATGGAGATGAGAGGGACTCACAAGAGAAAAACAGTGATGTTGTCTCTCAGAGAGCCCTACTGAGAAAAGAAACTGTGTGTTTACACTGGTATCAATGGATAAACAGTGTGAGTCTCTTCTTGTAGGGTTTCCAGATTTAGCAAATAAAAACACAAGCTCCCCAGCTAAATATGAATTTAGATACACAATGGATACTTTTTAATATAAGTATGCCTTATGCAATATTTGAGATATATTTAAGATGAAAAGTTATTAGTTTTTGAAATTCAAATTTAACTGGGCATCCTGTATATTATCTGGCAACCCTATATGAGAACTTGAAAAATCAGATGTGTGGAATATGATTTAATACTTAAGGTTGAAGTTTACTCTGAAAATCCTCTTCATTTATTAATATTTATTATTAATATTGCAAGCAAGACTCACTGTCAGCAACTGACAGGGCCGTAAATACATGCTCATAACTTGGCAAAAACTCTAAGCAAGATTGATGAGCTTGTAACTGCCATGCTCCTTCTTTCCTATCTGCTTCTTCCCGTTTCTACGAACATCCACCTTGACCTCTGACTCTGGGAATCAGTGTTTCCCAACAGTAATTATATGTTAGGTTTTTGCTATCCAGGTCTGAAAAAATGTAACCGTTTCTCTTACACTACCCTAAAACAGCTACCCTGATAATTAGCTAAAAATAGGGTAACTAACTATTCTGGTTTTCCCAGAGCTGAAGGTTTCCCAGGATTTGGGATTGTCAGTGCTAACACTGGGAAGGAAGTTCCCAGGCAAATCAGGATGGTTGGTCATCTTCCTTGACCATGATAGATTCTCTTAAACCAGTGGTGTCTCTATGTTGATTATTAAGCTTTAATTCTCACAGGAGAGTTGTATTTTTTCTCCTCAAAAAACCTTGTCTTCATTACTTAAATTATCTCTCTCTTTTATATAAAAGGTAATAATTTATAAATGAAAAGGTACATTTTTTGTATTTTATGCAATATCTCATTTTATAATAGTTCTTAGAATACTGTCAGTGGAAAAGTATGTCAATTATAAGATCATATTTTTTTTCTAGGTTAATTATTAGTGATGCCATTTTTAAATGATTGGGTCAAGAAAAGAGTTGATCCTTATGCATAGGTTGACCTTATCTCCTATATACCAATTTAGAGCTATCTCATGATACATGAGCAATACAGAATGACACAATACATGTACATATCTGTATATACTCATCATGAAGGCAAAGAAAAATGCAAAGTATAAATGACTAACAACCTGTCTTTTTTTTACAACTCAAAAATCTTACTTTTATACCTTGAAGTGTATTATCCTCATACAAATGTCAAGGAACCTTGCATTCCACTGGACCAAGCATATCTTTACCATAGGGCAAAAACAAAGACAACATAATTTTGGAGTAGTGCTTAGATCAATTACTTCCTTCATGATGATGGCAATGTTAGGGTCCTGATTTACAGTTATGAAAGAGGCTAGCTGCCAAACCAATATTGATCCTTTTCTTGCTTAATAACAAAACTTTGATTTTATTTTAGGTAGCAATATGACCAGTTAAAAGACTCTTTTTCATAGCCTCCATTGCAGCAACACATGGAATTTAAAAAGATTCCTTAAGAAAGGGACAGCCAGCTTGCATGAATCCTTTTTTACTTTCTTTCCTTTTTCTTGCTTCTTGCCTGGAACTCAAACATGGTGGCTGGAACTTCAGCAGCCATCTTGGACTATGAGAAAATCTTGAAGATAGAAGCCATGACTACGAAGAGCACAGTATTGAAATAGGCTTGGTTTCTGATGTTTATGGCACTACTCTGTAAGATCTAGCCTTCTTTTACCTGAGAGAAAATAAGTTAGAGATCATGTTATTTTTGTTATTTGTGACTAGCTGCCAAATGTAAATCACAACTGATAAAACTATTAATTTTTAATATAAATAAAGGCTAGGTATAGCTTGGATTACTAATAACATTAAAACTTATTGAGTGCTTACTGTGTACTAATTTCTGAAATACTTTCAAAATATTATCTTATTTAATCCTCATAAAAATTGTATGAAGTAGGTATTGTATATACTCCATTCTTCATATGAAGAAATGGAGCTCTGGACTGTTAAGTAATTTGCTCAAGGTCACAAACTAGAAAGTAGTGGTACTGAGACTCAAAACTAGACTTTGGGTGGTGGGCATGCAATAGAGTATACAGGATATTGAATTATAATATTGTACACCTGAAATTTATATAATATTATTAACCAGTGTTATCTCAATAAATTAAAAAAAAAAAAACCCAGGTAGGCTGTCATAAGAGCCCTGGCTCTAAACTTATCAAAGCTAAAAGGAATACAATCCTAGTAACAGAAAACAAAGATGTTATAATTTTTCATGCATCAGTCATTCATTTGTGAAATTATCATTGAGTCTTTATTATGAGCTTTGCTTTTTAATAGAAGCCAGTTATGTAGAAATGAATAAGATACATATTTCTTTTCCATATATCGTAGTTTAGGGGAAAGGAATCATCTAAATATTCCTAGGAACCTGTTGAATAATTATAAGGAAGTTATGAAAAAGAAAGGCTTTCCTTCAGAGCCCTCAAAGCCTCATCATTCCTTTCCTCACCTCTAGTTATAGGCAGAGCTGTTGCCTGATTGTGCAGCGCAGGTTTCTAGAGGGCTCTATTCACATCTGTAGTCATCAGTGGTTTGTGAATTTATTTCCGTGATTTTCTGGCAGATGGCAGTAAGACGTCTTAAGAAAGTGTATTGTTTTCTAACTTGCAAAACGACAATATTTGGGCTAGTGGCAAGGCTGGTTATGTGCTTCTGCTCCTCTACTCTGGCCACCTTAACTTGTAATCTCCCACCCAAAGCACCCCAACAGCTATAACCCCAGTCGTATCCTAACCTTAACCCAACAGTTAGCTATGCTCCACAGAGCTTCCAATGTGCTGGAACTCACCCTCTCATCTCCATTCAAGGCCTTCTTATCATTTAGCTGTCACGACAATGAAGTCCATAAACTAAGTTATGATAAAAATGGAAATTAGTCTTTGTTCTTGGTTTTCCCTCGTGTCAAGACACACTTGGACATTTAAAGTCTTAATTGATAGACGTGTGTGTGTGTGTGTGTGTGTTGTATGTGTGTGAGGGAGAGAGGGAGAGGGAGAGAGAGAGAGAGAAGGGAGAGGAGGAGGGAGGCTTCTATTGGCTTCTATTAAAGAGGAGGGCGAAAGAGAGGGGGGGAGGGGAACAGAGAGGAAGAAGGAGAGACAGAAA